GACGTGCGGCTGTCCGGCGAACGGCGTGCGCTGCGCTCTTGAGGTCCGGCTTGGCTGCGCTGCTTAGGGTCGTTGTTTAGGAGGGGCGATCATCCCATCCTCGTCGCCACTGTTATGTAGTGGGTGGTCGCCCGAACAAACGATAGACTACGTGGTGGTGCATAGCACGCTTTATTCAGTACACAACAACAAGAAGAAAACAAACGATCCGTCATTCCTTCCTTCCTTCCCTCCTTCCTCTTCTCTTCTCTTCTCTCCTCTCCTCTCCTCCTGTTATGTAGTGGGTGGTCGCCCGAACGAACGATAGACTACGTGGTGGTGCATAGCACGCTTTATTCAGTACACAACAACAAGAAGAAAACAAACGGCCGGCAGGCCAACTATATACAAACCTGGGGACACACCCCTGGTCACCATTGGTGGGTTTGAATCTCCCGCAATGGTTCCCATTGGTTCCCCAGTGTAGGGTTAGGATCCTAGTCCCCATTGTTGTCCAGGACTGAAGCTCAGGTGTGTGTGCTGACCTCAGGTGGCGGTCAGTGGACACAACAACCGTACTATGAATTATCTGGATCTTGGTGTCCACCAACACTTACTTACACTTAAGGACTTTTTTCTACTTCCTGCATGGCTGCCCTTCCACTTCTCATTAGGGTTGCCAAGTCCCCTCATTGCTTTCTTAGGTTCTTATATTCTTAACATCAGGAGAAGACCTCGGCTCCATGCCCTGTTGTTGGCCCTCCAGAGGAGCTGTTTGGCCACTGTGTGAAACAGGATGCTGGACTAGATGGACCACTGGTCTGATCCAGCAGGGCTCTTCTGATGTTCTTATGTTCTTAGCATCAGGGAAAGGTTTCGGCCTCTATGCCCTGTTGTTGGCCCTCCAGAGGAACTCGATGGTTACTGTGTGAAACAGGATGCTGGACTAGATGGACCACTGCTCTGATCCAGCAGGGCTCTTCTTATGTTCTTGGGTTGCCAGCCTCCAGGTGGGGCTGGAGATCTCCAGGAATCACAACTGATCTCCAGACAACAGCGATCAGCTCCCCTGGAGAAAATGGCTGCTTTGGATCATGGATGCTATGGCATCACATCCCTCCTAAACTCACTCCTCAGGTTCTACCCCCAAATCCCGAGGCATTTCATAACTTGGAGCTGGCAACCCTACTTTCACACTATGGAATAATGGCTGGAACCGTGGATTAGGGTTGCCAGCCTCCAGGTGGGGCCTGGAGATCTCCCGCTTTCACAACTGATCAGAGACCAGCTCCCCTGGAGAAAATGGCTGCGTTGAAGGGTGGACTCTATGGCATTGTAGCAGGCTGAGGCCCCTCCCCTCCCCAAACCCCGCCCTCTCCTGGATCCACCCCCAAAGTCTCCAGGCATTTTCCAACCCAGACCTGGCAACCCTACCACGGATACACTTTTGGTAGGCGTATTGACTAACACTCCTCCTTGTATAATCCGTCTTCTAGCTGCAACAAATGTGATACAGCGGCAGCCACCGTGGACGAAGAGGGAATTGTTGCCGGGAAGAGAACTCCATGCGACGACCCAGACGAACCCTGCTACACCTATGACAGGAATAAGTGCTACACTGCCTCGACCCCGTTCCTCCATGCGGGGAAAACCCAGCTCATTACGACAGCCCTCAATCCTGAATCCTGCTATCCAGATTAGAGATGATCCATACTGTCAGACATCATGGACAGACCCACGCGACACGCTTCTATTGGTTTTCAGTTAGTTAACTAGCATGGCTTCCCCCAAAAGAATCCCGCTGTGGATAGTTTGGTGAGTGCGCTGTAGGTGGAGCCTGAAGATCACCCAGAATTACAACTAATCTCCGAACTACAGAGAGATTGGTTCCCTTGGAGAATATGGCTACTTTGGAGGGTGGGCCGTATGGCAGCATACCCTTTCCAAGAGCCTCCATTTCCCAACTCTCCAGGCTCCACCCCCAAATTTCTAGGAATTTCCCAGCCTGGAGCTGGCAACTCCGGCGAAAATTCAGTGTTAAAGCCCCAGAATCCCCTCCTATTACAACAGGTCAGGTGACATTGAGGAAATGACTATTAAACCAGTCTAAGGCCCCATTCTGCATCAAGCATTCGCTCCGTTGTTTTAACCAAACCCAAACTGGAACAAAACCACATTCAGATACCCCAAGCCAACACCGTACTGACTGCAGAATCACCCCCGAACGGCCATAAAACGGCCATAAATCTATGCAGACAGTACCATAAAACCGAGAGATCGAAGGAAGTGAAAGCAGCATGCAGTGCGGAGGCTACCATAAAATCCGACAATCAAAGAAAGTGAAACTGGCATGCAATGTAGAGGGGAATTTCTGTTCCAACGTGGGTCTGGTAAAACAGCGAAGTGAATGCTAGATGCGGAATGGGCCTACGTCTATGATGTAGACCTACAGACATTGTTACCTGCTCGAAAAGTAGGGTTGCCAAATGGTACTCACCTCTCCGGCGGGGGACTCCTGCGCGGCTCCTGGAGTGCACGCACGCGCGCCGCATGCACATCACAGGGAAGTGACGTCATGACGCCAGGCACGCTGGGGGCGGGGCCACGACCATACAAGGGAAAACCATAGAGTTTTCCCTTATATGCCCATGGCCCCGCCCCCAGCATGCCCAGCGTCATAACGTCACTTCCCTGTGACGTGCACGCTGGGGCGGGGTTCCCCCCGGGGCCCGATTCCCCGGCGTCTGGGAACGGGCCTCTGGGGCGGGGGGATTTCCGCCCCCCGGGGGGATTTGGCAGCCCTATCGAAAAGTTTGGAAAAATCCCCAGTACTGTCGCTTAAAACAGATCTGCATCAGTAAAATGCTCTCGTTTGCTCCCCTTATCATTCCTTCCACTTTTACAGTATCGTTTCTTTCTCTTTATCACCTGCCTTTACCTATAGTGCTTAATTAATCCATGCTGTCAATAAAAATAATCTCTTCATTATCTCCAGGCTTGTATCATTGGTGTCAAATGGATGTAAAATTGGCAGCATTCCACTGAAAGTAACAGTGCATTGTATTACTGTTAACCCATTAAGCTTGATATAACGAAAGAGATTTCAAAAATTTTCTCTCGATCAGGGATTTGTAATGCAATTGTGTGCAGAGTTACATCAGTCTAAAACCCATGGAAATCAACAGGGTTAAATTACAGTAACTGCACAGGATTAATCTTCTCAAAAGATGGGGAAAGGGTCATTTGTGGCTCATTCTGCACATAGCATTCACTCCGTTGTTTTACCAAACCCACACTGTAACAGAAAAAGATGCGGCTCAAAACCACATGCAAATACCCTGGGCCAATGCTGTACTGACTGCAAAGTCACCGCAGACGGCAGGGGTAATTTCCTGTGGGAGCGCACAGGAGCGGAGCTCTGGCAGTAAGGCGCCCGGGGGCGGGCACTTGCAACAAGCCCCGCCCCCTGCTCCCAGCTGCCCTCAATCAGGCCACAAGGAGTAAGAAGCAGCCAGGTAAGTTGCAGAGCCCCCCACCGGCCCGCCTTCAGGTACAAGCTCTCCCTCCTCTGTGAAGGGAGATCTGTGCATCCCCCCTTCCCATAGCTAGCAATCCAAAACAGTCCAGTGGCACCTTTAAGACCAAGTTTTATTCAGGTACAAGCTCTCCCTCCCCTATAAGGGCAGATCTGCACATCCCCCCCCCCCACAATAGCTAGCAATCCAAAGCAGTCCAGTGGAGCCTGAGCGGTGGGTGTTGCCTCCTGACACACTTCCGGTGATGTCTGGGGGTGTGGCATATGCAAATAAGTTATGATAATAAGTTATGCCAATGAGCTCCTGCACCTCTTTTTCTACGAAATGACCCCTGGCAGATGGTACCATAAAACCGAGAGATCAAATGAAGTGAAAGCCGGCATGCAGTCTGGACACTGCCAAAAAATCCAAAAATCCAAGTGAATGTGGCATGCAATGTAGAGGGGAATTTCTGTTCCAATGTGGGTTTGGTAAACCAGTAGAGCGAAGGCTAGATGCAGAATGGGCCTGTATCCTTCAGTCCTCTCTACCTATCTAGCGAGGATCTTGGAAGACAGAGCACAAGAGACTCATATTTTTGGTAATAATCTATTTATTTACAAATCGACAGGCTGAGCGGGTATCATAAAGGACGCAGTGGCAAACACATAGGCAGTTCTAAACCCACAATTTCAGATATAAAAGCAACAAATTTTCCCTCTACGTAATTTTTTTTTAGAAGTCAAGCTTGCCTGGCAAATAGTCCATCTCTTGTAAGTTTGACTCCCTAGACTTCAAATGACTGGAGACCTTGAGTTTTTGACCCCAAATAAATGACCTTGAATTTCCGCCAGTCATCAAAGTGCGACAAACTAGCCAACGCTCTAGGCCAGTGGTGGCGAACCTATGGCACGGGTGCCAGAGGTGGCCCTCAGAGCCCTCTCTGTGGGCACCCGTGCCATTGCCCCAGCCAGGCCCAGACCATCATAAAAGTGTCAAATTCTCTGCCAAATAATTTTAAGTAAATGAAAGCATTTGGGATTGCTTTCCTTACTTTGTTTGGATCATCTTAAGTTAACGTATGAGTTGGGTTTTTTTACCTCAGAATTCAGGTTAAATTGCCGTGCTGGCACTTTGCGATAAATAAGTGGGTTTGGGTCGCAGTTTGGGCACTCGGTCTCTAAAAGGTTCACCATCACTGCTCTAGGCTTTGAACTACCTACATGGGTTCAGCTCCTAATCTAGTTTCAGTTACGTTTCTGTTAACAACAGGAGTTTGCATAGCTGCAGTTCCCCGTCCTGCCATCATCAGCCTGTAAGGTTTTTTTTTTCTGATTTTTTTATTCTAAGGGTGTGGACAAACATATCTCCAAAACAGAAACAGAGGTACGTTTCCCCCCAGTACCATGAGCGTGGCTTCCTCCCATGTTCGACTGCAAACAGTAGACCTGAGCTAACCAAACGTTGGTTAAGCTGATTACCCCCAGGCTTCATATTATGGTTGTCAACCTCCAGGTGAACCCTGGAGATCTCCTGGAATTACAACTGATCTCCAGGCAAAAGAGATTAAGTTCTCCTGGATAAAATGGCTGCTTTGGAGGGTGGGATCTATGGCGTTATACCCAGCTGAGGCCCCTCCCCTCCCCAAACCCCACCTCCCCAGGCTCCCCAGGCTCCACCCCCAAATCTCCTGGAATTTCCCAACCCACAGGTGCCCGGTTTTTAAATTTCAGAATGCTGTGCTATTATTATTAAATTAGACATACATATGTTCGAAAGCAAGACATTGCAAGTAGATAAATAGGTACCACTTCGGTGAGAAGGTAACAGCGTTCCGTGCACCTTGGTGTTTAGTCATGCCGGCCACATGACCACGGAAACTTCTTCGGACGGCGCTGGCTCTTCAGCTTGGAAATGGATATGAGCACCGCAACCCTAGATTCGGACTCGACTGGCTTTCGAGCAAGGGAAACCTTTACCTTTACCTTTATATCCACCATTCTTTTAACAAAATAAATTTGAATCTCATGTTTTGAGTATCTGAAAAAATCTTTCAGGGAACGGGATGTGTTTTAGTGACGTTAACTAGTTCTGGCATATCGTAGTTGGCTTCTCCTGCAAATACCCAGAACTGGTTGCCCTTACATTTGATCCAGAATAGTAAATGGTATGTTTGCACACAACATCCTGAATAGCCCAGATTAGTCTGAGCTTTCTGGAACAGAATCGGCCATGGGTGGTACTTGAATGGGAGAAAACCGGAAACGATGTCAGGAGATGCTCACGTTTTGCAAATCCAAGAGTAGCCTGTGACGCCACTTCCAGTTTTCACCAGAAGTGATGTCG